TGGCTCAGGCCGGCGATTGCAGTCCACAGCTCCAGCCCACAGCTGCCACCATCTTGCATTTGGGGACCATGACATTCCCGGTCCTTACAAGCACTTGAGGAGCGGCCATTCTCACTCCATCTCAGCTCCTCCCACTAAACTCCCCAGCCTGATGCATCCCCTTCCTAAATGGCCAGAGCCAAGATCCCAAGTAGGCGCAGAAAGCAGAGTCTGCAGGTGTGGCCCCTGCAGTTCACGTCGCGGCCCCTCTGAGTCCTGGATGGTGGGGTGCGGAGGGAGTTCCTCTCATTCAGAAAGACCCGTTTCGGCTGGATCATCGCCGCCGCCTTGCCCCATGAACGCCGCTGGAGTCACACATCTCTGGGAAGCAGCTCGCAGAGATCTCGGGAGTCAAGAAGGAAAAGAAGGGGGTAGGAGATAGGTGTGCCACAGGGTGAGTGTTGGGAGGCTTGGGGGACTGTAAAGCGTGTGTGCGTTTTGAGACCAGTGCGCACGCGCGCGTGTGGTCTGAAGATGTGGGGTGTATGTAATACCGCAAAGAAGGTCCAGGCAATCGGGCATCGCTGGTATGGACAGAGGCTTTGTGTCCAAACACGCAGCGCAAGCAGTAACACGGGGTTAGGGTGGGTTCTCCTGGGCGGAGAAATTTGGGGAGTTGCGTCTGTGTGATGGGAAAAGAACGGGATTCCCTCTCCCGGACGGGACGCTGGATGTGGGAGGCTCCTGACTCCGGATGCTCCAGGAGGGGCCGTGCGCCCCAGCCTGGGCAGATGTGGGGACATCCCACGGGATGCTAGAACCACGCACCGTACACAGTAGCGTTAACCAAGGAGCGTCCGCAGGGGGCTGGGGGTGTCCTCCAGGAGACGCCATGCCTTTCACCCCAGCCCGCGCCCCCCTCCCCATGCTGCATCCTCGCCAGCCGCCCACTCGGCTCCACCCGGGGTCTCCCCGGCAGAGCGAGGAGTCAGGGGCGCGGCACCGGTTACGCCCCCCCCACTTGGCGCCCCAGGACCTCCCCATCGCGCGGGAGCTGGGGCGCAGGGCAGTGCCCGCGGCACTCGGAGGTCCCCACTCTCGCGGGCTCCAGCGGTCCCTCCCCCCTGGCACTCACAAAATTGTCCCCGCAGCCGCTGTCCGGACACAGCACATAGAAGGAGACGCCAGGGTCGGCGTAGAAATCCATCCTGCGCTCGGTCTCCTCGGTGGCGATGAGCTCGAAGGGCGTGTTGGAGCACCATTTATCCGCAACGTCAGCCAGCTGCTGGAAATCCATCCTCGCCACCTCGCTCCCTGCGCTCCCTCCACTCCGCGCCCGCAGACCGCCCTGCCTCCGCACTCCCGCCCTTCCTGCTTGGGCGCCCTCTTCGCGGGCGCGGTCCGACGGCGCAGGCCTCGGGCCGGGCAGCTGCGCTCCCTGCCGGTCCCTGGGCACCTCCCGCCGGAGACTGTTTACATGCTGGGTGCAGTGGGGCGGCGGGCGGCGGCGGGGAGGATATGACGATGGGGCGCTGCGGCGCGGCTCCTCCCCCGCCCCGCCTCCTGCCCGCCCCCTTGGGCCGCCGGATAGGCGGGTGCAGTCGGGGCCGGATCCAGCTGGCGGCCGGCGCGGGGCGCGGCGGGCGGGACGCGATGCCTCCTGGGGATCTTCCCTCCCCGCACTCCCTCGCCCGAACCCCGCTTTCTTCCCGACGAGCGCGAACATTCCGGCGGCGCTGCCGGCTCGGTACCGCCGGGGATCGTGACGTCACAGGCCTCAGCCAATCGCCGGGGGATGTGCCTGCTAGCTTGGTGCCGTCACGGCACGGGCCAGGATTTGGCTCCGCCCCGTCGAACTCTCTTGATTGCTGTCAAATGGGGTGAGCGCTCAGCATCCCGGGTGATCTAGAGTTAACCTGGAGGGGTGAGTGTTTCACCCACGAATGAGATTTCATTACAGTGGGCATCCCCAAAAGTGAAAATCACTTGTAATTCGTCTCAGCCTAGCAATAGAGAAGCTGAGAAAATCTAAGGAAAACTGAGCTTTTCATTTTCTGGAATTCAAAGGTTTTCTCTCGGCTGATATAAATACATACCTATATACTAGTTTTCCCTTAATGCATCTCCTAGGCACCAATCTGAGTATTTGCTGGTTGCCTAGTGCACACAGACTCAGTTGTAGAAAATGCACTTGAGTCCTTCCTGCAATAATTGAATGACCTGCAACGACACATTAAATAGCACTGATTGCACATTCAATCGGCTTTTATTTTTAATCGTGTCTTGTGAGCCAGGCATCGTCCTTGCCCTGGGGATATAAGTATGAACAATATGTGACCCCACCCTAGAAGACCTTCCAGAATTAGCCTGAGAAGCCATTCATAATGAACCCATTGCGCCTACCCTTTACACACTTAACAACGGAATAGGTGTGATTCTGAAAAACTTCTGGGAATTATTTTTGTCTTTATCTTTCCGTGGTAAAGCAGCATGCCTGTCATAAAAATTGGAAGCTCTAGTAATTTTTGTTAAAGGAGGAAGTTGGAGGAGTGGTTAACACACAGGCTTTCATGCATTGCCTTTTAACTCATCTTTTTCCCCTGCTGGGAGTTGTTCACACCTAGTAGTTTATGCTCCCCTGTGA